AAAATTTTAAAAATAATAATTTTAGTTATTAACATAAGTTTCAGTATCTCGTTAAATTTAAAAGTTATAATTTTTATTTAATCTAAAAAAATATAAAAATTAAGGTATAAAAAAATTCTTTTAAATATTTTTAATTTCGGCATCTATAAATTTAAGTTGTATTACTAACACCACTAATAATTATTACCAAATTTTTAAGTTAATCTAAATTTTGTTAAAAGAGTTTAAAAACTTAAATTTGCTAACTTTTAGTTATTTTAATAATTGTCAACCTTATTAAATTAAATGTTATGACAATTTTAGTTGCTTTACTATTGAGTTAAATTTTATAAAGTAAATTTGAGTTACAAAAAAAATTAAAGAAACAATCTTACAATTATATTAAAATTTTTTAAATTCTCACTAAATTTTTATATTTATTTGTTTTGAAAACTTTAAAATTTTTTGTTTTTTTTTTTGGGAGAAAGTAAATATTTTTTAATAACTAAATTTATTTAGACTTCAAGAAGATAACATTCACGACTTCGAGCTGGAAGATCGAGAAGACCAGTTCATGAATACGCTAAATTACGTGATGGGATTGGCTGATTTCAAACTTTTAACCCAAAAAAAAGTACCAGTTATTATTATTATTATATATTTTTTAAAATTAATTTTATTACTATTATTTTATTATTATTTTAAATTTAGAAAGAACTGCATTTATTTTTAAACTTGCTTTTACAAAAAAGTTCAAACTTTATATAAACTATTATTATGTCATCTTTTAATAGAAAAAATATATATTATAATTGTAATTTCCGTTTGTTAACACAAAATTGCAAAAAACTTTTATTGTTAATATTTTTATTTGTAACGTTTTTTAATATTTTTAGTATGAATATTTTAATAATAATGAATTTTTTTATATTTATTTTAAACCAGGCCGAAAATTTATACGAGAAATATTTATTAAATATTGATATCAGCGTTGACAAAGAAAAACTCGATTATAAATTTATTGAGCGGTGACTTTTTTATGAAAATCATTATTTTCTTTGAAACCTCCAGCATTTTTTTAATGCAACTAATAGAATTACAAGTTCCAAATTTTATGATAGAAAACAAAAACTTAATATACTATTAAAATAAAAAATTGAAATTATTTTAGAATTATTATAACAAAAAATTTTTTTTTTAGTTTAACAAAAAAAATTTTTATTTTTGTATTGAAAAACTATAAAAAATAATTTTTAGGAAATTATTTATAATTATAATAAATAATAAGAAACTTTTTTATGCCATTTGTAATTACTTTTATATAAGTTTTGCTTGCTATTTAATATAAAAAAAATTATTTTAAAAACTTTTTATGAATTAAAGAAGTTATTTTTTTTTAACTTATAGAAAAGTTTAATTTGGTTATTAAAATAAAATAATAAATAAATTAAAAAATATAAATAAAATTATTAAAGTAAAAATTGTTAATGAATTTTATTTAACGGTTTAAGTTTTCTTATTAAAATGAAATTTTATCTATTTTTAATTTCGCTGGAATTAAATTTTTTATTCGCTTCACTTTTGTTAAAGAATTTCTATAAAAAAAATTATATTGTAATTTTTAGTTTTATTTTTTCAAAAATTTAGCAGCTTTTCAATTTTTTTTTAACTTTTTTAAAAGCACATATTTATTTTAGTTTTGCTTAAGTTTCTTAATATCTTTTTTATAAAACTTATTTATTAGGAAAAAGTATATTATTTTTTTTTTAGTATTAGTACCTAACCCTAACCTATATTTTTATTGGATTTTTTAAGTTTTTATTTTATAATAAAATAAAAAACGTTATTATTATTTATTAACTTTATTTGTATTTGACTTTAATGAAGAATTTAAATATTTATTTAAATAAATTTTTTTATTACCGAAATTAATATTTTTATTTATATATTTTTCTTTATATATAATTTATAAAAGCTGTTATAAATATTTAGCAATAAAAAATTATATTTAAATAGTTTTTTTTTTAATGATATAAAATCTAATACTTTAACAAATTATTTTTATTTGAAAAAAATTTATTTTTTTATTTTATTTTACATTACTTACTTTTTATAAGCAACTAGATAATATTAAAATTTAATACCTTTTATATATGAAAATACATTTTTCACTAAAAAGGATTATATTTTATTTTTTTTAGTTTAATTTTCTTTTGATATTACTGCTATTTATAAGCTTTATAATTTTCTTAAGTAATCAAAAAAATTCACTAATTTTAAATGAAAATTTTTTAATTTTATTTTATTAACTTCAAATATTTCTTTAAATTTTTTCTTAGAAATATAGGTATATTTATTTTTCTAAATATTCGCGCTTTTAGTAAAATTTTGAGAAGATTTATTAAATAATCTGCATTTCTTTTTTTTTTGTGGATTATTAATCTTTTATAAGAAAAATTCAATTTTATGATTATTCTGGGGGAAGTATTTATAAAATAATAGTAATAAGTTTTTGGGACAAATTTTGCAAGTGTGCTGCTTTTATTACAAAAATATTTGTTGGGATGAATGCAACTTTTTTAATTATATATAAAATTCTATTATAAATAAAGTATTAAGTTGAATTGTTATTGTTATAATAAAATATCTTTTGAGTTAAATTTTGCATTGCAGCTTTTCATTGATTATTATTACTATTATTAACTGTTGAATTGATTTAGAATTTAAAAAATTTGTTGAGTTATTAGAAATTCAATATTTTTAACGACTTACTTATTTTTCGAAATTTTTTTTAATTTTTTTAGTCAACGTTAACGCAAATTAAATTTTTTGGTTTATTTTGTTTTTTTACAACTTTTTTTTAATGTATTCTTTATTTTATTATAATTTAGAAAACTCAAATTATATAAAGTAACACTTTTTTGGTGTAGGAAATAAATTTAAAAAAAAAAGTTTTGAGAAAAATAAAAATATAGTAAATATATTTATTTTTCCAAGTTATTGAAAAATTTCATTATTTTTATTACTTTTGTTACTTTCTGGTTTCTTTATTTTTTTTTTTAAAATCAATTAAAATAATGAAGTGAAACTTTTTATTATATTAGAATTTATAATAATTAAAAAGCTGGAAACATTTATTATAATATAAAAACAGTGCTACAATTTATTTTGTGAATATCTGAACTTTTTTGGAGCGTTTTTTTTGTCAATTTACTTTTGTTAAATTTTTTTTACAGTAAATTATTATATCAATAATAATAGTTTATATTGTTGGACGCCTTTATAACATTATAATGAAAACATGATTCTGCTTTTCAAAAGTTTTTATAGTTTTTTTCATTTAATTTTTAACAGGAAAATTTTATTTAAAAAAGTGCTGTATGTTTTTTTATGAATAATAACCAATTACTTTTATAATTTGAATGTGCTTAATAAATTTAATACTTTTGATTGGTAGGTATCACCGCCAGTTCCCCAACACAAATAGAGCAGAAATTACTGATTACTTTTTAATATTTCAAAGAGGAACTGGTATTTTACCTTTTTAATTTTTTTAAAAAGTTATTATATACTAAACTATTGATAGTTTTTTATGAAAAGTAAAGCTTTAAACATATTTCTTTTATTCTAAAGAAAAGTATTATCTTTTCATTATGAGTTATTATATAAACGTTTTTTTTAATAATATACTTATTAAATTTATCTTTTAGAAAAGTTTCCTAAGTATTAAATGTATTTTTTTAATTTGATAGAAAAGTATAAGTAATTAATGTTAATTTCCATCTTTGATTTATTTTGAAAAATATTATTAATAAGAAAATAAATAATTAAAAAACATAAACAATAGGAATTGACGAAGCAAAGAAATTTTTTTACACAGAAAAAGTTGAGGTTTGTAAGTTTTGTATCTCTACGTTTTTTTGAAGTTTTGTTCTTTATATACTTTTAATACTATATATAATAAATATAACTTTTTTTATTTTTTTTATTTTTATATATAAAAGGTTCTTGTTAGAAGGCTTAAAAAAGTCATAAAAGTAAAAGTTTCCTCACTTTTTCCTCCAAAATTTATGGAATGGATCGATATGCAAAAAAGTTTTTTTTTCATTTCTTAATATTAAATATTTCTATTGGTTAATTTACCTTTATTTACTGGTTACTATGAATTTTTTTAACTTTTTCGTTATTTATTAAACTTTCTTATAGAAAAAGCAAAAAGCTATTCGTCGATAAAGCTGCCAAAGGTAAAGCATTATTATTATTTTCACTACCTTTTTTTTTAATTTATTTTTAAATTTATTAGGAGCTTTTGTCGAGAGGCTTGTTTGTAGCCACTGTCCTTTTTTATGTTTGGGGTCTTTTTTCAACTCTCTCCGATCCCCACAGAAGCAAAGGAATTTTTAGCGCATTTTTTGGATGGCTGAATTTTTTTTTACTGAATGGTTCAAAAATAATTAATTTTAAATTATATAATTTTGTAAGAACAACAAAGTTTTTGATGTGAATGTTTATTTTAATTAAAAAATTTGGTTTTCTTTTTATATATTTTGAGGTGTCATCAAAAGTAGTGAATTCTTGAAAGTTTTTTTTAGTAGTTCAAAAATTTTAGAAATAATTTTTTTTTTACTATTTTGGTGGAGTTTTTGGTAATTTCTTTGGAGTTTTTTGTATTACATAGATTTTTGCTTCCTTAAAAATTTAGTTATATTTATTGGCGCTTTTCTATGCTTTCCTCATCGTCACTGGCCCTTAATAATAGAACAAATTGAGTAATGTTTAGTATTTATTTTGATGTTGACTAAAAACCAACGCAACTTTTATAGTAAATGCAAGAAATATTAAATATTATTTGAGTCATTAAATAAAATAAAAGTATATAATTTTTGTCTCTACTTCTAGCGCTTTTAGCTGCTTTGCCCCTATTGGGTCTTTATAACGATCTCTGCGTGATAACAGCTTCTTATTGGTTCACTACTCTATCGTGAACGCGCGTTTTGAGTCATTATTTATTTGTTGGGAATTACCGATAAAGAGATGAAAAAATTCGGCCTTTTTTTATGAAATTATATCTTTCATTAAATTTAGTGATTTTTTTATCGTTAGAATGGAATTTATTTTCACTTCTGTCTGTATAATATATAAATAAAAATAAAATATTAAAATAATAAATAAACATGAAATTTTTTCTAATAAGAAGTTTTTTAATGAATATTATTATTTGTATAATTACTACTGTAGTATTTATAATAAAAAGTTTTTGCGTGCATTTTATATAAAAGTTTATTATTCCTATTTTTATCGATCAAGTATAATTGAAAAATAGATTTCATTAGAATTATTATTTCACTCGCCTGTTTTCATTATAATTTAATAATAATTTTTTTGGTTCGTGACAGTTTTCTTAAAATATATTAGAAAGTCATTTAACCAATAATATAATACCACTTTTGCTGGAAGTCTTTTTTGCCCAATCGCTATTTTTTAATTTATAAGTATTATTATACCCCTCAACCAACCATTCACGTTTCTTATATATTTTTTTATTTTTATTTTTCATTAAAAATAAATTCTCGTCCTTTTTTTATTTAAAAAATTATATACAACCTTTATATATAATAATTATGTTTAAAAGAAGTAAAGCACCAATCATGCTTCGTTTTCATATGTTACTTTCCAATCACATTTTATGCTTGGTTTGTGATTTTTCATGGGTAATCCTTTTTAATGAATAACATTTTTTGCTACAAATCTACTTTCCACATGTTTTATAATTATAAATTCACTATTTTTATTTTTTTTGAAATTTTTTACAAGGTGCGATTCTTGGTGTTGTGGCATTTATTTTCCTGTACAATCCGCCTTTCGGGACTGAACAAAAGGATAAGAAAAAGGAAAAAAAGTTTGCGAAAACTTTGAGAGTTCGTAAGAAGTCCACTGTGAATTCCCGTATAATTTTTTTTAATGAATTTTATATATTTCTTATAAAAATATTTTTTTATTTATATTAGTTCACTAAATTTTGATCATTTTCATAAAAGTAAAGTTTATAAATATTACTATATATAACAAGGTCTTTATCAAATAATAATAAATTTATTACTTAATAAAAAGTAAATATGTAAGTCATAAATTGTTTATACTAATTCGAAAAACTTTTAACTATATTCCGAACTATTATAAATTTTACTGGTTAAATTTATTATTTGTTTATAAATGTTTAAGAACTTTAAAATTATGTAATCTAATATTTTTTATTCGCTACTTATTTAATATTCTTTGCCAATCAATACGTATATCACATGTCAAGTTTTTTTATGTAAACGTTAAAAATTTTTTTAGTGGTTTTTTTAAAAAAATAATACTATATGAACTTTTTTATATATTTTTTTCTTTTGAACTTTTATAATATAAAATGACTTTTTTTCCTTATATTTTATATTTTTTTTTTAGAACTTTACAAAAATTTTAATAATTTTTATACCTTTTACTTTTTTCTTTTTAGCATTTATTTTATATATATAAAATTTTTTTTTCATTATTATTTATATTTCTTAATTTAAAACTTTTCAAAATATTTTTACTAGTTTTATATATTTTTTAAACTTTTTTTTCTTTTTCTTTTCCGCTTTAATAATAGAAATAATTTTTTTTTTCGTTTATATTTTTTTAATTTAAAATCTTTCAAAAATTTTTTGATCATTTTTTTTTATTTTTTACTTTTGATCTATTATTCTCTTTCACTTTTATAATATAAATAAAAAATTTCTTTTCAAAATTTTTTTAAAACTTTTAAAAATAATTGATCGTTTTTTATAATTTTTATTCTTTTTTACTTTTCCAATGTTATATTATATTTTTTTATAAAGTTTATTATATAATATTCCATTTATTTTCATGAAAGTTGTTGATACTGATGAAGACCAGTTTGCAAAAAAAATAAAAAGAATTCGATTGGACCAGCTTCCATTATATCCAAAAGGTTTTTTCTAGTTTATTTATTATTATTATTATTAATTATTATTATCGTTATTATAATTATTTACTAAATTTTATTTTATTTAGAATTTTTTCTGAATTGTATTATATTTATAAATAATTCTCTGTTTTCATAATTTTTATGATAACTTTACTAATAAAGAACTGTTTTGTAGTATTTTGAAAATTTTATAATATTAAAAATTTATGTAATAATTTTTATATACTTTTTTATGAAGTTTATTTCTATAAATATTTAAGTTTTAATAAATTTTTAAATATAATTTTTTATATATAGTTTTATTAGTTTTATTTTGCTAAAAAGTTCATTAGTTTTTAATATTTTGGTTAAAAATATAAAATATTATTACTTATTCAATTTTTTTTACTTAAATTACAATTATTATGTATTATTATTAATTGTTTTATTGTTTATATATTCATTATAATCAGATCTTCTGGTTCAGACAACTTTGCAAGAGCCGACTTTTCGCGACGTTATAATTATCTACCGCGAGATTGGCCAGAAGGCCATACGTCTTAAACGCTTTGTGGACATCCCTTTGGTTAACTTATCAATCATTTATTGACTTTTTTCTTCTTTTTTATAATATCAAGTTATTAAAAGTTCTATTTTTAACGAATTTTTATTTTTACTAATCAGGCGGATTTGGAACTAGTTTATCCGGCAAAAGCAATTTCTTTAAACTTGACAGATTCGTTGATATTTTTTGTTACTATTATCGGTAGAATTCACTATTTTTTTTATGATTATCAATTTCATAAATTTTCTATAAAAAGTTTTTACACATTTTATGCTTCACCAATAAAATAAATTCTTTAAAACATATCTTTTATATGACTACTTTCTAATGAAGTCTGATACTAATTTTGTATTATAATGCAACAATATTTTCAGCTTATAAAAAAATTATTGAAGGCTTATATTATTAAAAAAATTGTTTTTTTTTTAAAATGTTTATTAGTGGGCCTCGTTTCTGTTGCAAATTCTTCTTACGGCGAAAATTTGGGAGACTACGTCTACAGCATTGCATTAGGTAATAATAAGTAAAATAATATAATGATGCTAAAATTAATAATAATTATAATAATAATGTAAAACTTTTTATATACAATTGAAAAAGAAAGTTTGAAAAATGTAACAATAACAATTACTGATAAAAAAAATTATTTTAATAAAAGAATTGTTAATAAAAGAAATAATATTATTTACTAGGAAAATTAAAGTTATTAATATAATCTTATAAATAAATACGATGAAAACAAAATTTTAAATAAAAGTAGTAATAATATATGTTAACCTAAAAAATATTATGTTATAAAATACTAAAGACAACATTATATAAACTTTTATAAAGGTTTTACTTATAATGGCATTAATGAAAAATATTATCAATATATTATTTTTGAAAAAAAAATTTAATGATAAGTTTTATTAATAAAAGTAATAGTAATATGTATAGAAAAAAAATTGTTTATTATTATAAAAAAATTTTAAAACAAAAATTTATATAAACGTTTTATTAATAAAAGTAATAACAATAATAATACTTAATAGTAAAAGTATATTATAATTATGAAAAAGTAATTTTTTTTACTTTTTTAAGGTGTTGGAATTTTGATAGCAAGAAGTATTTATAATTATAATAACCAAAAGTCTGCTTATGAGGCCACTTTAGTACTTTTACTATTATTATAATTATTATTATTATTATTATATATTATCTGATAGACAAAAACTTTGTATGAGAAACAAGTGAGTACAGACGAAACTTTACTTATTCATTTAGTTCGGAATTGCGAAGAACAGGAAGTCAAAGAAGTTAAAATAACTTGTTTATTATATTTATTATATAAAGATGTGAATTAAAATTATAGAAAAGTTTACTCTCTAGTCTTTTTTTATAGTTATACTTATTTTTATATAAAGGTTTGGGATTTATAAAATTAAATAATAATAAATAAATATTACATTAGCGATTATAATATTTATAAAAAGACAAAAATTTTTCTTTTATAGAAATAACTAATATTAATAGTAATAATAAATATAAACAGATTCATGAAGAATAAAAGAAATAATAAGCAGAAGTAAATATCTTAAAAAAAATTCTTTTTTAATTTCAGTAAATAAAAATTGCTTACGAAAAGTAGACTAATACAAACAAAAGTATACAATTCAAGAAAAAGCACTCTAAATGTTACAATACTTTAAATTCATTAAAAAAATTGCTTACGAAAAATAGACCAATAAAAATAAAAAATTATGTAAGTAAAAAGGTTAGTTTTTTTTTAAGTTCAGTAAAAAATTGCTTACAAATCAATTTTAGACTAATAAAAAAATTGTATTAAAGAAAAAAGTTTGTTTCAATAATATATAATGGAAGATTTTTTATGATAATATTTATAATATTTGTAATATTTTTTATAATAATAATAATAATAAATAACAATGAAGGCCCTTCTTGCTTTCTTTATGCTAACAAAAGAAGGCTCTCAAAAGGAAGATATTCTGGACTACCTCATCGAAGCATTTTTAAGAAAATATTTCAAAAAAAATATTGACTTCCACGTGATTTTGATTCATTATTTTTATAAATACTTTAACTTTTCTTACGATGAAATCCTTTTATTATTATTATTATTTGATAATTAATAACTTTTAAAATTAAATAATTTTCTCTATTTTTTCTGTACTAAAAAGATATTATTTCTTTTATTCTAATTTTTTTTTTTACAGTAATTATTTTTACTTATTATATTTTTTAACTCCGGATTATTTTATATACTTATAACTTTCTTTTATTTTTTATGAAAATATTATTTTTAAATTTTCTTTTTACTTTGCACGACAAAAACATTATTATAATGATTATTGTTTATTTCTTATACAAACTTTTTTTAGTTTCTTATAATATTTTATATTACAATTATTGAAACTGTTTCTTTAATTTATAATAATAACAAAATAAAACTATTATTTTTTATTTTACTTTTCAGTATTACTTTATTAAAGACCTTCAAAATTGAATGATAACTTTTCCTTACATTTTCACTACTTTTACAAGCTTTTTTTTTTTTAGGTGTCTAATGCGCTTTCTAAGCTTAGCCACATCGGCCTCGTAGAAATTTCTCCCGGCGGCTTGGTTACTGCCATCCCCTTAGAAAAAGCCGTTTCAACTATTACTAAAAAGGTATTATTGTTATTATAATTGTTATTATTATTATTTGATTAAGATCTCAAATGTTTTTGATTTAAAAACTAATTTACTTTTTTCGATTTATAATTATTTTTGTACTTATAAATTTTAGCCACAAGTTGTATGTTTAAATATTTTTTTCTAATTAATAATTTATTAGTTAACGATTATTATTATTATAACGTAAAAAAGTAAATTAGAAAAAATACACTGGTAATGAAAATTTTTTATTTTTCCCAACCTTCATATTTTTGGGGAATTTTTTTTCATTTCTTATATAATTAACAATATTTTTATTATTTAACTTACAAAGTTATATAAATTTTTGTTATAATAATAAAAGTTTATATTTAATGTTTGCTGGATCTGCTTTAACTTAATTTCATATAAATTCACTAAATTTCAGTGGAGTGAGTTTGATATAGGATTAAAAGATAAATCAAAAGAGGGAGGAATGGTTTCCGGAGCTGCCGATTTCGTAACCTTTATTAATTTTTTTTTTTTATTAATCTTATAATTATTACTCACAATTTACTATTTTTATCTTTTACCGATTTGAGTAAAAGTTGACAATAATTTTTAATTCTGTTCAATTATAATATTTTGTGTAATGAAGATACTAAAATTATGTTACTATAAAACCTTTCCATAGTATATAGTATTAATTTATAGCCCTCTAATTTTATTATTAAATAATTTAATTTAATTTAATTTAATTTTAGGTTACCGGCTGGATTCCAGGAATGGGAAAGAAAAAATCTTCAAAAACACCTCAAAAAGAAGAGAATTCTTCTATAAAGAATTGATGAAAGCTAAAATTATGTGTTTTTGCAGAAGTATTTCGCTAAAGTTTTAAATTTCTTCCGAAAAGTTCTTGATAATAAATAAAATATTTATTATTGAATAAAAGTTTTTGTTGGTAAATTAGTTCCATTAAGATTTAAATTAGTCATTTAAAAAATTTTAAAATTGCTTATACCCAAATAAAGCTTCTGTGTTGCACGCCCTTAAAGATCGAAATTAAGTTTATTAACTTTATAATAAAGTTTTTTTTAAAAAAAGTTCTCCTTAAAATTGTTTTGTTTTTTTAATAATTTAAACTTTAGTTTGTATAAGCTTTAGTTTTAACTAAGTTTTCTAGATTAAATTCATTATTAAGTGGTCTTAAACGGCATATATTAAATCTTCACACCTTTTAAAAAGTGCTGTACATAAAATTTGTTATAGTAAACCTAAAAAATTATAAAAAGATTTTAAATTTTTTAGCTTATCTTTCCATGTTTTGTTAATAATATAGCAGATTTCATTTAACTCTATAATACGCTTGGCTTACATACGTTTGTCATACGGGGAATTAGTAAATGCGTAACCTTTTATACTCCTCCTACTAGTAATTGGACGAGTAAAAAAAAATATTTGCATTCTGTTGCTCAATTATATAACACGAGAAGTACGGACTCTAGGTGCTTCGCTGCGTCACTAAGGCTGGAGACTAACAAAAAAGTCAACGAAAAAAAAAGCGGAGCTTTCACAACTCCCATAAAACTAGACCCATTCGTTATCTTCTTCCCCATTTTTAGTAAGTTATAGGGGGTATCTTCAAGGGCGATTAGAACAGTTTTGTGGTCTGAAGAGAGTTCCAACAACGTTATAAGAAAAAAATTAAAGCATCAGGGCATTATCGAGCGCACCAAATGTCTAATATAAGGCATGATGAGTCAAGCCACGGGGACCTATCACAAGGATTCCTTTTTTTCCGCGCGTTTTTACGGGCCAATTATATTTGGATACGTACAATTACTGTCCCCAGTGAATGTTTGCAATTAAGATTTCTACCAATGGTTTTTGAGGATGAGCCAGAGAATGATGTATCGATACCCATCCTAATTTTTCTGTCGTCGAGCTTTGTAGGCTAAGAAAATGTTAATTTTACTATTGTTACTAAGTCTCAATATAACCTACAGAAACGTGAGTTTTTTATATGAAAAAGGCCACTCTTCCCTGTCCGTTGGGTCTATCGTTACCATACAAAAAATAGTTATGGCAGTGTAGAATTTTCATCCTGATTGAACTGTGTTTATGAACTAAAATTATGTCATCGCTTGACCCCTCAGTTCCAGTTTTTGAAGTTCGCGGAGCATGATGTAAAGACCGTAAGCATTTTAAGCTACAATTTCAAGTTGCTTACCTCAAGTAAATTCACAGGCTACCGTTCAAATTTTTAAAAAGTCCGTCGGTAAGTTTTGCAATTAAGCACTTAATCTGTTGTTATTGAGAATCTGTTATTCAGTTTTATTGGCTTAGTTCTCGCCATCCTATATGCAGTCTGAATCAGCATTATCATCTCGCTATGAGGTAGAGGGATACAACAAGTGACAGTAAAGGGCTCTAAAGGTTAATCTTACTAATTTCATTAGGTAAAATTTTTTTCTTTACATTATCGCGTCACCTTTTCCTTTTAAAAGGGAAATATTACACCGTTGAATTTGATCAGTATACATTAGTAGTTTATAAGAGCATCACGCTTGTCTCCGCGGACAACAAAGGGAAAGGCTTTAACTGTAACTACCGTAGGTTGGCAAAGAAAACTGCTCCAAATATCCACTTGAATTAATCATTAAAGCTGTATAGTATTAAACGAGTATTCGTGCTCAAAACAGTGTAGAGCCGGGGAGGCTTGGCTAGCGCCTTGTTGGCTGGGCTCCAGGTGGCCTCAGGTTTAATACTTGAGGGTTACCTCTTCTGGTAATGGTTTTTAGCAGTTTTCCATCACTGTAGGGATGACCGGGGTATATTTATAGTACTAACACCTGATAACCTTCTATCAAGCTCATACTCAAAGCCAAACGGCCAGAGACCATCCGAATGAATACATATTGATAGCGCCAATGAAACTGTACATCCAGCTACGGATTTGATGATGCTTTGTATCAAATTGCACTAATAGTTCCGGGACAGAACGTGAGTTTTAGGTTACATTACTCATTATGTAGCTCTTTCCGCCATGGCTTTCGTCCGCAACTACTTACTCTAATGACGATGGTGTACTACATAACTTAGCTGGTTTTATCGACGTGCTTAATAGTATCAAGGTTGATTGCGCCAGCTTTTCATAGGCAAATCACGAAGGACCACTTCTAAAGAAAGTGCTAGTACTCAGCGCGATGCTTTATTTAACTAAGTCTAATATTAAGTCTATTTGTTAACATTTTGATAGCAACTAAGTCAACCTTGAATGGATTTGCGATGGGCCGAGTCTAGTTAATGAATCCGAAGCCTCAAAGCGCAAGAGAGATTATTAACCATAATGTTTCTTCCAAAGGTACAGGGAAGATAGCACCTATCGAAGGACTTAGCCTAAATCAAGGCTAATTCACCCGAAATGACTGGGAAAAATAAGTGAAATAACAATTAGGGGAAATATTAGCTTTATCCTAACGAAGTTTACTTTATTAAAATTAAGCCCTATTTTCAGTCCTAAACTGATAACCCAAAAAGAAGTAACTCTAATTTATAGCTAACGTTATTAAGATAAGCTTTTGAAACCTACCGAGGTTAGAGCAACCTAAGCTTTGAAACAGCTCTAGTTTAATCAACTGTAAAGTTATTAAACTTAAATTAGGATAAGCTAAATAAAGTTTATAAAATGAGGCTCAAAATTGTTGATAACAATCTTAATTTTTCACAAGATAGCTCATTGTAGTAAAGTTATCGAACAAATCTAAAATCCTGAAAAAGTAAACTCTTGTTTCTTAACTTTTTATAGAATGAATAAATCTACTTTAACTTAAATATTAACAATCTTTCTTCTAACCTCGACTTTGCTATATTGTAGTGAGCGAGTGCTTATTTACTAGCAGGAAGGATTAGATTAAAAATAATAACACGTGCTAAACTCTACGCCTAAAGTTGGCATTTTTTAGTAAAATTAAGTTAGTCAACGAATATCAACAAAAGTGGCGAAAGTAGCTTGAATTTGCCAAAGTTGACTGAAACTAGCTAAGGTCAACGATAGTTTGCTACTGTATTTAAATTAACTTTTAATTGTATCACTTTAGTAAAAAAAGTTTAGCCATTGAACTTGTTAAAATATCTTAGCTTGCTCTGGGTAAAATCACTATAATATCATTATTAAGGTAATTTTTTAAATGTTTATTTGATTTTTGCTATTATATACAATATTTAAGGAGAAGAATCACCCGTATGAGAGATAAGCCTCTGGCATGTTTTAGTTTCTTTTCGCACGTCCTGTGCGAGCATTTTGTACCTTGAACTTAACTTCATCTTAACTTTTTAGCGCGGGAAGTGCGAAGGCTCCTTTAGTTAACTGTGACTACAGAAAGTAAGACCATGGTTTTTTAATAGTTTGAGACCTTGGCAACTTCATAAGCTGAGCGCTATGTCGATTATTTATATTTAACATTGGGCCTTTAGCTATAACTCGAAGCTTTCGTTAAGTTTTGTACGTACTCCCTGGGAGCGAGGATTGCTTTTTGTTCCTAGGCTCAGGCCATAAAGCGTCAGAAAAAGATCGGACATATATATAAAATTCGCTCCTGCAGGCAGCTTAATACAAACGGCTTTCCGATGGTTTCAGTCTTAGAAAGGCAATGGGTTATCAGCCATTGGCGGAACACCTACTCAATGTAAGCTCATTCTTCCCCTTGGGTCATTTCACCTCTACTTTTCAAAAGGGTCAACTTTGTTTTTAACTCTAACATATAAACTCTAACACAATTTTGACACTATTGGCTAATTAACCATGAGACCTAATGAAATGTAGTTATGGTAACTTCCTTTGGAGCATAATGAGCTCAGGGTGAGCGTGTGCTACGGAAAGCTCCAGAGTTGCAAGAACCAGCTAACTCCAAATAGGCTAGAGACGCACGGTTGGAAACAACTGCTTTTAAAACTGACGAAAAGTTATCTCTAGGCTAAGTCCTTCGATAGGTGCTATCTTCCCTGTACCTTTGGAAGAAACATTATGGTTAATAATCTCTCTTGCGCTTTGAGGCTTCGGATTCATTAACTAGACTCGGCCCATCGCAAATCCATTCAAGGTTGACTTAGTTGCTATCAAAATGTTAACAAATAGACTTAATATTAGACTTAGTTAAATAAAGCATCGCGCTGAGTACTAGCACTTTCTTTAGAAGCGGTCCTTCGTGATTTGCCTATGAAAAGCTGGCGCAATCAACCTTGATACTATTAAGCACGTCGATAAAACCAGCTAAGTTATGTAGTACACCATCGTCATTAGAGTAAGTAGTTGCGGACGAAAGCCATGGCGGAAAGAGCTACATAATGAGTAATGTAACCTAAAACTCACGTTCTGTCCCGGAACTATTAGTGCAGTTTGATACAAAAGCATCATCAAATCCGTAGCTGGATGTACAGTTTCATTGGCGCTATCAATATGTATTCATTCGGATGGTCTCTGGCCGTTTGGCTTTGAGTATGAGCTTGGTAGAAGGTTATCAGGTGTTAGTACTATAAATATACCCCGGCCATCCCTTGGTCGAATAAGGTCTAGGTCAGGTATATCTCAGCCCGGCTACCCCCAGTCTTTTGGGACAGTCAAAATACTCCTTCGCTTCGAGAGTGAACTGAAAGCGTTCGTGTCCCAATCCTTCATGGAGCGGGGGGAGAGGGGGAGGAACCAGATCTCAAAGGGTTTAAAACCTAAACTAGAGCTGACAGTCCTGCTGGTTCTTTCCTACGTATGTACGTAATGAATGTTAGAAGTTTTTATAAGCGATTGTTGATTACAATAGGAATTCCAAATCCTGTTTTATTCTTACTAAAGAGTACGTCGTA